CAGCTCCAGCCAGGAGAGGAAGGGCATCCTCTCCAACCAGAGCCTTCCTTAGCCAGCCTGAATAAGCCAGGCTCATCCTTAGCCAGCACCGGCACTGATACCAGAGGAAAGGCACTGCCACGGCTCACGTGGATACTTCACCACTTCCTAAAGGTTTCTGATCACCACCACCTCCCTTTCCCCAGCTGCAGGAACAAGTGCACAATTTCTAGACTTTCGATTTCTGGCCCAGGCAGTGGCCAGCTCCGAAAGAAGAGGGAGGACCTAAGGAGCTTCTGCTCACTGAAACCACGTACAGCAGCACCCAGATCTCCGCTCCTCACCTTGCCCACCTCACGGGAAGGGGCAAAGGAAGCAGATGAAATGCAAGGGCTTTGCTTATCTCCACTTCTGGCTGGTACAGCTACGGGAAGGGATAGGTACACTGTTTAAGAGCGCTGCAGCTTGTGCTGTTTCCTCCTGGCTCCCACAGAAGCTCAAGTCAGCCGGAGCTGTGGCACAGCCTCTTGTGCAGAGCCCACCACAGCTGAACCCTGCAGCTCAGAGCCTGGGAAACGTTCACTGCTGGCTCCGCAGTGCCAGACCAGAGCATCGGCAGCTGAAACTACATCACTGCCTGCAATTTGTACTCAATCACAAGAAAAGTATTTCCATGAAGAATAAAGACTCTGAATCTGAACACACCCGTTCAAGCTTGTGAGAGCAAATGGTTTTAATATAGGCTGTAGGGGGAGACCTACGGTTTCGGTCCATACACCCATCCGTAGGACCCACAGAGAATTGAGTTGATAGCTCTTTTTCTGCTTCGACTTTGAAAATTTTGCCAGTAGATTTGAGGACGTCAGCAACAAAATGCAGCGACTCCACTCCAGCGGTGAGCTGTCTGACGGACCAGTTCGCACCCGTTATGATCTCATGGAGGCTCTGCAAGGTGAAGTCTGTGTTGTGCTTCACTGCCCCCAGGTCAGTCATTTGGCCCGTTCTTAGGTTTTCGTTCTCCACCTTGGAGCTCTCCAGCTCTTCCTGGAGAATAAAGATCTCCTGCTTCAGCTTCTCCACATTGCTTTCTGCTTCCAGAGCCCTCTGGGTCGTTAGCTGGAGACTCCACTCAGCCTGCTGGACAAAGGACTGTAGCTTTTGGATTTCCCTCTCTTTGGCCAGGCTGGCCTTCAGCTGCCTCTCCAGCGTCTGCACTGGGCACGCCTGGCTCTCCAAGGAGCCCTGCACGCTCCCGACCGCCCTCCTGAGCATGGCATTCTCCTCCCTGAGCATGTCGTAGGCCGGCTGCAGGGATGGGAACTCCCTGTCTCCGATGGCCTCCTCGAGCAGCATGTGGGGCTGTGCTCCCCTAGTGCCCTGTGAGTATCCCAGAGAAGGGTCACTGGCATGGGCCCGTGGGGCAAAGGTGTCCATCCCCAAGCGCTCGCCCACACTGCCCTGGAAAGAGCTGTAGGAGCCACGCGGTGCCATACCCACAGTTGGGAGAACAGGCAACCTTTGATGCACAGGACAGCGATAGGTTCAGCGGTGGTCCTCACCTTTGGACAAGCTGCCAGGCATTTCCATGTCTTTGTACAGTGGTTCCTGAAACTCCTGAGCTTCCTCCTCAAGCTCCAGTGCATGCTTCGCCAACCTCTTGGCATATGTTCTATTTTTCACTCCTTCACGTTTCACCATGTGAGAGCGGCTGGGCTTTAGGGAAAATGGGATCCTCCACCTGACTGTCACTCGAGCAGTCATAGCTCTTGCACTGCGGTGGAGCATGTGCAGGGCGGCAGAAGTAGCTGAGGTCGTTATCATCGTGACCATCATCTTCCAAGCCTTGAGACTCTGGGCAGACCTTCTCCATTGTCCCAGAGGTGCCAAACAGCCGTGACATTTTTCAGGACACTTTGGGCTGCAGCAAGTGGGAGGATCCAAATTATCCTCCTGGAGCCCCGGTCACCCAGGCAGACGACACTGACAAGCAGTGTGGCAGCTTCTGCAGCCTCAGCGATGCTTGTGGGGGAAAAGGCAGTCACCAAAATCCTTCCTTTTAGATCACCATGGAGTTTGGGAGGGAGCGGAGAGGAGGACCAACCATCTGTGTCTTTGCTAGCCAGAGAACAGGAATCACCAAGATCTGTGAGGTCAGCTGTGGGGTATGACCAGGGGGCAGAGGAACCCATCAACTGCCAAAGTGCTTTTTTGGCAGCAGGAGGATAAGCTGGACCCTCATGGCCGCCGAGCCGACCCCAGCTCGGGAATGCTGCCAGTGGACGTAGAGGAAGGAGCTCATGAAGCCACCTGCGACCTCCAGCGTGCAGGGAGCAGCCAGCCCCAGGCAGGCAGCGTGGAGCAGAGGGGACAACCCTGCCCCACAGGCTACCAAAACATTTCCAGCAGCAAGAACAAGAGGCTGATGCCAGGTGCCACATTTTGGTGCCGGGGCTCACCCTGGGCAGAGGCAGGAGACATCCATCACCAGCGCTTTGGCCAGAGGCAATGCCCCGAGCTGGCCAGCCAGGGAGCCGTGGTGCTGCTGATCCGATTCACCCCCGGCTGCCAGCTGGCGCAGGGAAGCATTAATAATACCGGGCGCCACAAATGCAGAGGGGGGAGCCAGGAGATGAACGAAAATAAACCCGCTTACCACTTCCACCCCAACACACCCCCACAGCGCATGGTGCCGCCATGGGAGAGACAGACAGGCAAGCAAGAAGCCCTAGGCTAGCGACTGCCATTGCATTGGGCCGGCGTTGGCTTTAAAGCCCTGTCCTGGTTTGGGCTAAACTAGAACTAATTCTGTTTCAGTGCTTTAACTTCTCGGTTCAGTCTCCTCTAACGGCCCTTTCTGAAACAGCCGCATGTTTTTCCAGACAGTGACTGCTCCCAGCAGTGTCAAGGCCTGATGTTTATAGTTCGTACCAAGGAATGGGATGCAGAGAGGCCCTTGCTTATACTTGTTCTTGTAGCGACCAAAGTCACTGCTAAATCTTGTACTGCGTGTTGGGGTGCCGGGAGTGAAAAGGGTCACAAGTACGAAAAAGGCCGCACCTGCAGGGAGGAGGGAACTGGACAGGTGACCCAAACCTGACCAACAGAATATTCCATCCCATATACGTCATATGTAGTATGAAGCTGAGAGATCACGTGGGTCTTGCTCTCTTCTTCGATGGCCAACATCTGAGGAGGACTCTGTCTGTTCTTCCGTCATCGATCCCGATCTGTGCATCCCTGAATCCAGTGCCTGAGTCCAGCTCCTGCATCCCGTCCCTGCCTGCTGCCGAGTCCAGCCTGGGACTGCCCCAGTGCCAGCCCTGCAGCGTGGTGGTGACGTATCGTCATCAGGGTGGGGGGAGCTGGGTTCGGTATTGGTTTTGTAGATATTTGTACATATTGTATATATTTCATTATTTTCCTTATTCTTATCTGTAACGGGTCTGCGTGGCAAGGTTTTGGTAGCAGGGGGCGTTACAGGGGTGGCTTCTGTACAAAGCTGCCCAAAGTCTCCCCTATGTCAGATATAACCAATTCCTGCCGGCTTTAAGA